GGAACTATACGGCATTTCGGTACTGAGTTTACTTGTGAATTATCCTTAAATCGGGGCTTAAGTAAGCTCAGTATCTGTGGGTATTTCTAAGGGCAAATTTGGGACTAAGGAAGCCAAGATATGAAGTTGCCTCGTACACAGTTTTTCGATTGCAAGTCTTTTGGTTACGTAGGCCTACTACTAATATAATAATAATAATAATTTTATTAATGTCTCACGTTTAAAAAAATAAAACCCACCCTACTAAGGGTTATGAAAGACTAAAACCTGTAATACTGCATTTAAAATTCGTAAAAGTTCATTAAAATTATTACTTATCAATAAAACACATAAAATGATATTATAAATAAAACTTTTCAAACACTCTCTTTGTTGTTAGCTTTGCTTCTTTTCCACATCATTGTGTGTACTTTTTACGCTGTATAAAATTGTATTTGGTCGTTTTGCATAAGAAATTTGCTTATGTACGAAAAGAGGGGAATGTCAAGACTCGCCTACCGCCCCCGGTTCCTCTGTTTAAACCCCTTTGACTTATCTGCTGATAAACCGACTTTTCTCGATCTGAGCTCGACTCAAAACTACGGAAGATTTTACCTAATCTGGGTTATAGAAAAAGTTAAAGTTGTTTCTCTATATAGATCTATGATAGATTAGTTGAAAAAAATTACCCAGATAAAAAGATTCATTTTAAGTTTCACTTGCGGTATGAAACATTAATATACTGCACGTAGAATATTAACTGCAAAAAGCATGCCAGGAAATCTATTATATTATAATATGCGCCTTCGGACAAAAATTCAGAGAATGTGCTAGATGAGGCAAAGCAAAGATGCTGTTGTTAATGCTGAATTAATTTTGTTTTTACTTTAGAATAGAATAAAATAAATTATACGGCGTAGCACCCATTTTATACATAACGAAAAGATCATTTTTACCAATCTGATGAAATACAGTATAAAATATTGAACGAATAACTTCAATAAATTAAAACAAGAATTTCAAGTCTTTGATTAAACCAACCCGACTGGAGGGTTTTTTTTTCATACTTATGAAGTACTAACAATGTATCACAGATTAAAGCACAAAATATTGTTAACGCATTGCATAAAATTGTTTTCAATTTTAATTTGTTGGTTTTAATTGCATTGTTTATTTAAAAACAACAGTTTTCACGCACGCTCCTGTCAATATACAGAGATGGGCTACTTATTGCCCCGGCCCTTTATAAGGAACGAACAAAACCGGTAGTTTTTAATTTTACCTGCTTTAACCTGGTCACTAACATCATTATCTCGGCATTTTTCTCTCCGTGGCTCAATATAAACATTGACAAGGTTTTAGTTTTTTCACCATTCATTATTTTTAATGATCCAAATATATTCACTGGATGTAAAAGAACATAGGTATGATTAAAGTAATATGTTCAGTTCGTATACGAAGTTCCGATTTCGTCCGAACAAAGAAAGGATTATGGAGCAACAAACATTGACATCAACGTTTATTCACGTATAGTCATTTTACACCATATCCAGAAAAAGAATGACAACTGATTTTTAGTACATTTAAAAACACCTGTGAAAAAAAAACGGGACTCTTTCACCTTGTTAAATTTCAGTCCCTTGAAATAAAGAACCCGGCGTTTTTTAACGCTGCAAAAAGAAAAGAAAATAGAATGCCCCCTACCTCCAGAATGTTACGACATGTATTGTTATAGACAGGTATGAATCAAATTCAAACAGGCTAATTCAGCTTTGATGGAAGCTGTCAAGTGCACACGACTATGAATGACAGTTTTTTAAACGAACGTCAAACACAATTACTACACTCTTCTCTCCAAACTATTAAAAAAAACCTAAATCCTTTGATTGACAAGATGTCAATCAAATTCATTAGTTTTGATAGCTGCTGTCAAGTAATAACAGCTTGATTGGCAGGTTATATAAACAAACGTCAATCACAATCATTACACAGTAGATCACTATAGTCGTCGAACACGTATAGTTCAAGCTTCCTACACCCTTTGATTGACAAGGTGCCAATCAAATTCAGTTAGTTTTGATAGCTGCTGTCAAGTAATAACAGCTTGATTGGCAGGTTATATAAACAAACGTCAATCATCGTGCACTGTGATTTCTTTCGCTGTGAAACAGTGAGTACGCCAAAAGAGAGCGCTAAAATCTGAAGTTAGTAATTAAATTGCAAAATATTTCAAGAGAAAATGTGCAACATGTTTCCAAAACTAGTTCTCTTTTTGAACCCTTCAGCGTGTCTAATACGACACTCTAGATTACAAACTATTTTGTAAAAAGAAGAATTTAGCAAAAGAAACCAATTTAAAAACAGATTCATGTAAAGAAATATGACATTTGACGTTATTCTGGAGGTAGCGCATGGGTCATTTCAAAATTAGTTAAACTATGTTCCCCAGTATGTGCGTGGAAGAAGGAAGAATATATGTTTTTCTGCATTATGAGTGGAATATTGACAGGTTCTTTTACAGTCAAAGACTTTCTGCAAATTAATTAATTAATTAATTAACTAATTAATTAACTAAACGATACTAATCCATCTTCATTAAAGGTGACATTCGTGTTGTGGTTGAAGTAAGTGGTTTAAGTTTTGCGGGGATAAATGTAAGCAAGAACCTGTGATAATAAGTGGATGGGAAACAAAAATATAACTGTTAACAAAAATATTACTATCCTATTTAGCAAACAAATCGCTCTTGTAACTATTTGTTGGTTTATTTCACTGCAATAAAGCGTGGATAAAATAGTTCAAAACGCCCTCACAGTGCCGTTGTTTTTGCAACTTCAGCTGCTGGGTTTAGGTGAAGGGGCGAGGACAGGTGTGATTTATTTTTCAGAAAACGAAGAGGGGGGGGGGGGTGTCATGACCCCACCTCTAAATCCGCTACTGGTTTATTATAACTCGCCAATCCTCCAGTCATTTCAAGCGGTCAATACACGTCTTCAACACATGTCATAAATAACATGATTAATTGACATGTCAGTACAACACTTTCTTACACAATTTTATCTTTTATAAGAATTTAAAGCCATACATGTATTTTATTTCCTCGAGAAATGATATTTAGTAAAAACAACTTTTCATACGCAGTAATATTCTGACGTTTATCTTGTCTCAACATGGTTGTGACGTCTACCACAGAATTGATGGAAATGTGCTAGATGTGACAAGCCGTTGGCCGGTGTAAATGTATACAGTAGGCCATAATAACCTATTTTTAACCATTTACCTAAAATATCTTGTTGAAGGAATTTTTAAAGCGCGTCTTTTTGGTACTTCTGTTCCTCATCTAATGATACACATAGTTCAAAGTGTAATAATTACGCATAGTATATTCCTTTGTGAAATTGA